AGCCATTCCAGTTTTTTAAAAATGCCCATGAGATGATCACACCCTCTTGAACCAATCATGGAATTGATCATATGCCTGGGTCCCCCTTGCCCCTAATTTTGCCCTTAAACTCGCATATGAGGAACACCTTGGGGACACTGGGCCTTTTCAGCATGAGTTCCTTGCTTTGCAATAAAGTATATTTTCCTTCATCCAATAAACAAACAAACAACAAAAAATATGGTTTTCAGAATACTGTCTATTTCCCAGGTACTGCAGTGCAAGTTCAGGGTTCTGAACATGAAGCGTTTAATACACATGTACAAACGCAGGCATTTCTGGGGAGTTAGTTCATAGCTTTTATCAGTTTTTTACAAGGATATTTAGCTTTCAAAGTTAAGAATAATGTTAAATTTACTAAAGTTATGCTTTAATAAATCACTACGTGTGTGTGGTATGTGTGTGTGCATCTGTGTGTGTGTGTGTGTGTGTGTGTGTGTATATATATATAAAATTAAAAAATCATTTGCTAAGAATCATTTGCTTGAATCTATGCCAAAAGGCAATTTTAGAATAGACTGCCAGGTTGTGGAACAGATTGTTACAGAGAACTAGACATATCTTAAAAATAGCAGAATCCTATGTACAATATTCCAAAGGTAAACAGCTATCTTTTTACATTGTCCGAGGGTGTGTGCTCACCAGAAAGAGGGTGAGAAAGCGGCCTCCCTAAGTGGAACGTGGTCACATCAGGATTCTTTTTCCATCATTTTTCCATCCTGTCAGGATTTGGGATTCACACTCTCACATACCCAGCTTGGTTTTCAGGCTTCCAGGACTGGGACTCATACCACAGTCTGCCATGTGGGATCTGGCTCCCCACGTAATGTGGTTACTATGGGGTTGGCCCAATAGCTGTTTTCTCATATTTGTAAAAACAAATAGGAAAAAAGATCACACTAAATGTCATGTATTTTATTCGAGTATATACACATGTCTTTTTACTTCAATGTTTATGACCAACGGAGTAAGATCAATGTTTGTGATCTGACATTAAGACCTGCGCACAGCAGCCAATGTGTGTCTGTGTACATATCTATAAATCGGTCAAATTCCAATGTCATTTAGCCACCTTGAATACTTCTGCGAAATGTAAATGTGATCTAGCCAACTTGTATTGCGTATTTCTGTAATCTTATGTAAAACATAGTAAGTGGACCTGTGATGGAATTTTCCCAAAAAACAGTTTTTATTATAGCTTACTTTAAATCAGATATACTTTTCAGTCAATATTTTGTACGCACATCAAAATTGTGGTCTTTACAATGAGCATAATGAACAAATATTAGCAAAACTGTTCAAGAATCTTTCAGTTGAAAAAACTTTACAGTCATGTGCTATATAACAATGCTTCAGTCAATAAGAAACCATTTACATGACAATGGCCCCGTGAGATAATGGAGTTGAAAAAGTTCTATCATTGGGTCCATCAGATGGCATAGTGGTTATGTTGCTGGACTTCCAAATGGACGACCGCGGTTCAATTCCCAAACCTGGTGGCTTGAAAACCATGCCGAGCGCAAGTGCATGCATGCCCAAGAGCCCAGAAGAATGGTGGAGAAGGGATTTCGGTGTGGCCATCCCTGTGGGGGATTTCCCACTTTCCCTCTCACCATCTCTCTCAGCCCCCCTCCCCAGCTCACATGCTCTACGCCATAAAAGTCCTATCACCTAGAGATGACGCGGCCGCCATCATGTAAGCAGCACGGTGTCCTCCCGTTCATGATGCTGCCGTAAACAAACCTATCGTGCTGCAATGTCTGCACACGATCCTTGATAATAAATGATGGTTGCTGGTTTACGTGCTACTATGCCTTTTCTCAATATTGCAGTGTACCCCTACTGATATCTACAAAGGTTACCGTAAAACAGCAAATTTTATGCCAGCAGCAGCCTCATGGATCGTGTTCACTTTTTCCTCGCTTGCATCGTTTTCTCTTGCGCTCAATTCAACCTCATGTTTTGTTAGTCATAGCTGTCTGGCAGGGCAAGGTGCGGAGGCGGAAGAGTGACACTGACCTGGATCCTGTATGTAGGCTTGGGCTGATGTGTGTCTTAGTTAAGAAAAGTTTAAAAATACAAAAAAGCTAACAGAATAAGGATATAAAAATTTCTGTATAGTTGTGCAATCTGTTTCAAGCTAATTATTATAAATGTCAAACATTACAGTAAGCTAAGGTTTAAATCATTACAGCAAAATATTTTCTTTATAGATTTAGTGTAGCCTAAGTGTGCAGGGTCTGTTTATTTAATTTAAAAAATGTTTTTAAAGGTTTTTGCCATAGGGTGCTTGCTGGAGAGAAACAGAGACAGTGAGGTAGTGAGAAATCACCCCACAGGGGTATGACCACACCACAATCTCCTCTTCCATTCTCTCCCTGGGATTTGGGCGCATGTGTGTGCGCAGGTACACACACACACACACACGTGTCCAGCATGAGTTCCAAGCTGCCGTATCTGGGACTTGAACCAGTTGATCATATGGAAATCCAGTGCCTTAACCACACCACCACCTGCTGGCCCAGTGTACAGGGTTATAAAACGCACCACAGTGTATAGCAGCGTCCTAGGTTTTCACACTCCCTCTACTCACTCCCTCAGAGCAGCTTCCAGTCCTGCCAGCTCCAGGCACGACAAGCACTTACTGCTTCACCTTCTACTTTAGGGATGCTATGGCACACAGGTACCACTGAGCTCGTGGCCTCTAGCAGCCGGTGCAGTCGCATGCTGTCACACTGCAGCCCAGAAGCAACGTGTGTGGTGGGCTCTGCCATCTCAGCCCGTATACTCTTGAGGATGTTCTTGGCAAGGCAGTCACCAGCAACCCATTTCTCCAGATGAACCACCATGTTCAGTGACCCATGGTCATATTACCAGCTTTGAAAAATAACAGAGCTACTCTATTAAGGAATGCTGAAATCTAGCAATTGAATTTTAAAGTCATTTATTCAATCACAAAAATAACTATTTTTTTTTTTTAATTGTTAAAGGGTGTGTGTGCTCACCTGTGGGAAAAAGCAATGGAGTATGGTCATGCCACACTTCCTTCTACTCCACTCCTCTATTCTGTTGAGATCTTAGGCACACTTGCACACATGCCTGTTTTTCAGGCTAGGGAGGAGAGGCCCAAGAATCCAGCTTGTTGGCCATGTGGCACCTGTCTCCCGTAACCACTAGAGTATGTGGTTGGCCCAAGATAGTCCTGTTTTAAACAAAAAAAATGTAATGGCTGGCCCCACAGTATAGCAGTTTCGTGCCATATGGAGAGTTAGGTCCCACATGGCTGTCTGAGGTTTGCGCCAGTCCCGTGGCTTGGAGAACACATCAGATTCATGTGTGGGCCTGGGGTCCTGACAGGTCCTAATATATTCAGAAGGAAAGTGAAACCAAACCAACCAAATCAAACCAAACCGGACCAAAAAAAAAAAAGCCCAATAAATCCAACTGAAGACTTAGCAGCAGTTAGCGTAATGGCTGTGTTGCTGGGCTCCCATGTAGTTGTACATGGCGGTTTGAATCCCGGACCCAGTGGCTTAAACTCACGCCCGGCTCGTGTGCATGCGTGCCCAAGATCCGAGAGGAGAATGGAGATGACATTGCGGCATGGCCCTCTCCCCTGGGGGGGGGGTGATCTCTCACTTTCTGTCTCTGTCTCGCGCATGCGCCCTATAGCAAAAAAACCTCTCCAAAAAAAAAAAAAAAAAAAAAAGACTTAATGACCCTGAAGAGTCACAAAAAATGGAGTCTGTACTCTAAAATGAAGTATTTCTGTAACTAGAAAAAAGTAAACAATCTAGCATCTGATTTAAATATTTAAAGCTAAAATACTCTTTTGTCAGTGTTCAGTTGATACATATGGATCCAGAGTGTGATAAACAATAAGCAAACTAATTCCGATACTGATAAACAGGTCAGTGGATAATTATAACTCAAATATAACATTCAATTCCAAAGTTGAAAGTAACATCCAAAGTAAAACCAATTTTAACAAAATAACACAATAAAAATAAAAAATAAGCCTCTAATGTTTGCTTTGAACTGGTTATGTGGTTTCAATGACTACAGAATACTTTAGATAAGCTAAAAGCTCATTAGATTAAACTGAAGTGCTATATTCAGGGAATCGGAAACCTAGTTTAGTGGCAATGTTTTAGATAAAAGCTTTTAGATAAAATGACTGGTAGCTTTTTTTTTTTTTTTTTTTGGAGAGTTTTGCTATTGGGTATGTACACACTTGTTGGAGACAAGAGACAGACAGAGACAGAAAGCAAGAAAACAACCCCCCTGGAGAGTGGCCACACCGCAATCCCTTCTCCTCTTCTCTCAGCATCTTGGGCACGCATGGTGTGAGTTTTAAGCCACTGGGTCCATAACTTGAACCACTGAACCACGGTGGACTACGTGGGAGTCCCATTACACCACCTGCTGGTCCCAACAGGTAGCACTCTCACAAAAAGAAAGCAGAGAGAAAATACCACCCCCGCAACCCCTGTCCTCTAAAGAGCACTCATACAGACTGACACCGAGATCAATTTCAAAAAAGTCATTTATACTCAGTCTTAACTAGCGTTTCTTCCCCTTTTCTGTTCTTTCTTTCTTGAGAGAGACAGAGAAGAGAAACAGGCAACCCAACAAGGTCTTTATACCACAATCCACCCTCACCTTCAGGCAGCCCTAGCCCACGGCATGCATAAGCCCAACATTCTTAGGGAGCCTCCCACATGGGTCAGGCTGCGACGCTGTGCAACAGCGGCCCCGTGGACCAGCCCCAGTCCACGTTCCCATCACCGCTCCCTCCAGAGGGCTGTTTTCAGCCCTCTCAATCCTGATCAAGCACGCCATAAAGCTTAACCACCACAGATATGTGTACCTGCTCACACATTCACTGTATGTATACGACTTATGCTTTATATGTAAGAAGCTTTGTCTCCAAGAACAAATTTTCACAAAGACACATGGTATAAACAATGAAAAGTTTACAGTATTTATTTCAAGATTAAATGAGAAAAAAAGAAATACATTTTAGCATTTAAGTATTTGCCAAAATAGATTTTGTGTCAAAATCAAGTTTCCCAGAAACAGGTACTGTTCCCAGCTAAAGGCATCCCTACTAACACACAAATCCTGTCACTTACAACTATAGGAGAGCATGGAAGAGTTTAAAAATATTTACTTAGTACACTGTAAGACATTAAGAATTTTAGTTTCATTGTAAAAGCTAAATAACCAAGAGTAATCTGAACAGTGCTTGTCTTTTGTTTTTTGGTGAGGGGGCTGGTGGTCAAGTAACTTAAGATGTTGAGTAAGACTCTTTTCTGTACCATGGCAAACTGCCTTTGGATCAACTTCCACAGTTTTATTTTTTGTGTCTTCAAAGCTGCGTCCTGTACTGACGCCCAGTATCCTCTAGAGTAAAGCTTCCTGGCTTGCTTTGAGACATATCCATTCTTCTCATCATGACCACTTTCTTCACGAGAAAGTGCCTGAGACTGCCTTCACGAGTCCCTCTGGATACAGGCCTCGAGGCTCTGGAACAGCAGCAGTATCAACATTCCTACCATCAAAGATCTCTTCTACAACTCTGCTTAGTTCAATTCAAATTTCAATTCCAATATTATAATTTTACAGTTCTTTGCTGCACGTACATCTTTGTTGGCCAATTCTCTCAATTATCCATTTCTGAACAATGTCATGAAGATGTCAGAGACTACACAAATACACATTTTGTTGCAAGTGAATTGGAAATACATGTACAGGGACCAATCACCAGCAGTTTGAAAGAATGAATGTGATTGGTCAGTAACTGTGTAGCGTACCTCTTACTGTATTTACATAGTGAGCTCTAGAAGAACCAGCAGCAAAGTTTATACTTTATGTAATTACTCACGTGTAATATACTGTGGTAACTGAAATTCAAGCTATGCTGTTAGATTAAACTGTTTTTTTTTTAAAGAGGTTTTTGCCTTAAGGCATATGTACTGGGAGGTGGGGATAAAGAAACAATGAGAAGGAAAGTGAGAAGTCACTCCCTGGGGGGACGGGCACCTGCAATCCCTTCTCCTCCATCCTCTCCAGGGATCTTGGGCATGCAGGCACATGCGCACAGTGTGAATTTTAAGCCACTGGTCCAGACCTTGAACTACGGTCGGGTGTATGGGAGTCCAGTGATGTAACCACTATGACATCTGCTGGCCCCCAGGAGAGGCAATATTATGTAACTAAGTCATGGTCAGTTGACACTTGTGCCTGTAAGAAGCATGCACATCAAGGACTGCCTATACCCTACATGTTCACATTGACCCAGAGAAACAGCTCATCTCAATTTCCTTCACATAATACACATTAAAGCATCCAGAATGCAGTATGAGAACACAGCAAGTGCATGTTGAGGTGGCCAAGCTTAAACGGTAAGGACCTTGTAGTAACAGACTTGAGGACCAGAGAGGTCCTTCACAGGACCCCACCGTCTGACGCCACAAGAAGTCACCCAGCATGTTTATTGTGAATGATCTCCCCCCCTTCTATTTCAATTTGCTCATACAGCCACTTGCGGTCGCAGCGGCACTCGGCCCCACACTTGGTGGACCCGCAGGCCGGGCACGCGTAGAAGCAGCCCAAGCAGTCCTCATCGAGGCAGTCGCAGAGGTCCATCCCGCTGAAAATCAGGAGCCCCTGGCTGTCATAGACCTTGCTTTTGGCTGGAATCACTTGTCTGCAAAATAAAGCATCCTAAATTACACTGAGAAAACACGTACTTTTTGAATATTTAATAAAAAAAATAAGGCAATGAAAAAATGTAAAAAACCAAATTCCAGTGCTGACACAAACATAAACTCTGAAATGCCGTGAAGTCGACTCAACAAAGAAATAAGAGCTCTGTCCAAAAAACAAGCAGATTTCTGTTAAAATATTTTCTCCTTAAACAAGACAAAAATAATAATGACTACTTAGTAGGGGTTCACTTTATTAGCTCCTAATCTCTTGCTTTATAAACAATTTTATTTTTATTATAGTATATTATCTTGTAGGTTTTCAAATACTGCAATTAGTCTGTCCCTTGTTTTTTAAGGGACTCTTGTAAATCTGGCCTAAAAATATTTAAATGACTCAATGGAAAAACCTTAACAGATGGAATAGAAATGTTGACTGCACTCAAAAATAATTCCAGATGATACTAACATTTGTCAATTTGTATTTTATAAATGCTCGATTTATAGAGTCATACGCTAAATAACTTAGTTCTCCCATTCATTCTGTTGCCTGTACCAGAACTGAATTTCTCTTTCAGACACAAAGTTTAAAAGCAACCTTACAGTCTGATCCAATACCTTTAGCTGCCACCTATACAGCAGATAGACCAATTACATGTATTTTTCAAAAGAGTAAATCATTTAATTCCAAGATGTATAATGTTTCAATTATTTGAACTCTCATGGCAAAATATCAACTCATTCACTTCACTATCTTCTTAGAAACAAATTTTTAACTAAAAGAGATGCCTTTTTTTATATGAATAAAAGCCAATGACTAATTCCACATTATCGAATTTAAAATACTGGCCTAGAGAATACAAAGTTTAAGGTAAAGTAGGAGAACAATAAAAAACATGAGCAGCAAGTTAATACATGTCTTTAAGTAACACATAGCTTACCTGTCTGAGCCAGCAGTTGCATTTTTTGTAAGTCTTCTTTTTTCTCTTTTACCAGTTTCTGGAGCAAATTCAGTTTGCTTTCCTGGGTTTGTAAACTGCAATGACCTCAAAGCTTTAGCAGTTCTTCCCTGGATAAAGGTAAACAAATTATCAACTTGAATCATGACAGCAGACAATAGATAGATCAATAACAGTAATCTGGAGTATTCCTTAACCTGGAAGATAGTCTGGAACACACACACACACAAACACGTTTCAGAGTCCAAGTGCAGGAAAATTTACACAACTCCAGACCATATCCAAAGCTGTCATTATTTGCACTTAGTCTCTGGTGCATCAGGAGCAGAGGAGGCCAGGCATGGTGTAACAGCAAGGGCCGTTGCTGACCTGGGAGAGAAGTCAGAAAAGCTGCTGTAGGAGCCTGAGGTACAGAACTGGAATTCCTGATAATAATCCTGGGTTCTTACGAGAAAGGTTCTATTATTAAATTTTAGGTATTTTTATGAGCAGAAATGTTTTTGTTTTTCTTTAAAGAGAGATTTTTGCTATAGGGCACACACACTCATCAGAGAGAAAGAGAGAGAGACAGAGTGCAAGAAATTATCCCCCCCACAGGGGATGGCCATACCACAGTTCCTTCTCAGGATTTTGGGCACACACACACGCACCTGGCATGAGTTTTAAGCCAGTGGGTCCAGGACTGGAACCACAGTCAACTAAGACACAGTCAGTGACATAACCATTATGCAATCTGCTGGTACCAAGAAGTAATGTAGTTTTTTTTTTTTTTTTTTTGCTATAGGGCGCGTGCGCTCGCCAGACAGACAGAGAGACAGAAAGCAGGAAATCACCCCCCAGGGGGGATGGCCACGCCGCAATCCCTTCTCCTCCACTCTCCTCTCGGGATCTTGGGCACGCACGCACACGCGCCCGGCGTGAGTTTAAGCCACCGGGTCCGGGACTTGAACCACGGTCGACTACGTGGGAGTCCAGCGACATAGCCATTACGCTAACTGCTGGTCCCAAGAAGTAATGTAGTTTTAAGTTTTAAATAATATAACTTTTTTAAAAAGCTTTGATAAAACAAGTTTTTGGTAAATGTTTTGCTATTTAGGGGGAAAGTTCCATGTAGTACATCCCATAAGAGCAATGTCTCGATCAGTGACATCTACAGTGACAGGATCAGGCCCAGTCAGGAGTCCAGGCAGCAGGGCACTGCTAGGTGAAGACAAGGCTGTGAGGGAGGCTGGGATTGGTTCCTGGACCAAGATAAACATGATGGGGAGGGTAGTGAGTACCTGCAATCCTAGCTAACTGGGAGGATGGTGCAGGAGAATAACCCTGTCAAAAATGCCTCTCTCTCTGGGACCAGCAGATAGCGTAATGGTAATGCTGCTCCCATGGACTCCCATGTAGTAGACCTGGAGGCTTAAAACTCACACTGGGCATGTGTGTGTGTGTGTGTGCCCAAAATCCACAGAGGAGAATGGAGAAGGGACTGCAGCATGGTCATCCCCCCGGGGGGTGATTTCTCGCTTTATAAAAAATAAAAGGCAAAGCAATATTATAATCAACTATCTAGTTTGAACAACAGGTAACACTAGGTTGTGGAGATGTGGTTCTGAGGACAACAAAAGGAAAACTCTGCATACAATTTAAAATTTTAATTATCTTACAGTTTGGCTTATTAATATAATGAAAAGGAGATGATAGAGAAAAATATTTTAGCAGCAAGATTTATAATTCAAAACTTTGAGAAGTGCTCCTTTGACATACCTGTCTCTGTTCTACACCAAAAACAGCTTACAAAAATCTTCAGTTATTCTGATATGGTTAAATAATCTGTATGTAGCCATGAAACTAAGCAAGGGAGGTATATTTAATGATTTACACTACGAAAATGTATGCTTTTTGACCACAGGAAGTCCTAAAATTAGCCTTGATCCTACCAAGTAAGAATTCAGAGACAGAAGGAAATATTCAAAGGCATTAAAAACTCAAACAAGAATGGGACAGTGCCAAAAAAAAAGATTAAAATAAAAAAAAAATACATGGTGGTTAAGGGCGGTAGACTCCCACATGGCTGACCATGGTTTGAGTCCCTCTCTCAAATTTAAATAAATAAAGTTAAATAAAATCTTTAAAAAATAAATCTTTAAAATACACACACACACACATATTTCAAGTTATGTCTCTGATCCACCTTTTAAAGTAGTGATTTCTAAGTCCTTCAAAAATAGGGAATTCATCCTAGTATACAGACCCTTGTTGGCTGGCATGTCACACTGAGTTACTTCACATCAGAAAAGATACCAAGCTTAGCCCTGGCTTTGTCTGATGTTCTCAGATCCCTTCCTAATGTCCTAGCACTAGGAGCTGTAGCGTGGAGTCTTGCACGTACTGTGTTATTTCTTTACCCAGAGCACTTTATCACCCAATCTTGACTGTGGGTATATGAGAATATTTAGAAACATCATTTGCTTTTCACCTCCCTAACTTTAAATTTACGGTATGCTAATACATACAACAAAAATGTGACTTCCTTATAATAATGTAAATATGATATCTTTATAATTAAACAAAATTTCCCATTGTATAAGTCACAATGGTAGGAAAAAAATGACTACATACATCTGACTCAGGTTTTCTTCTTTGGCGGTCTTCAGAATCAACATCCACACTTCCATTGATTATTTGTGTACATTTTGGACAAAGCTTCCAACCAGGTACAAGCTGTCTTCCAAATTTTGCACTCAGAAAAGTGGCATCATCTAAGTCAATTACATGCAAATTTTTTTTGGCCAGTTTTTTGTGTATGTTAAATGGGTCACAACAAGACTTCTGCAAATCCTCAAATCTGTCGATGTAAATTTTCACATGATGGAAACAAATCGTATTATTCCCTGAAAGTGTCATTCCAGTTCGAAGCTGAAGTAAAAGCATATCATTTGACGATAATTCTTGCAAAGTCTTGAAACCCGTGTGACGAGTATAGAAGGTTTTATGGCACTCGTTTGTGGTACGCAGCTGGACTCCCACTGAACATGGATCCATCATTCTTGATGCTAGGTAATCTTTCCTTTTATTTTGTCTAGAGATTTCTCTTTAGTAGGTCATGTGCTGAGCAACCTAGATAAAACATTAAAGGCAGTCAGATCCATGCCAGATTTTTATCTGAGAAACTAAAAAAACATATTTGATCAAACTCAACACCTGTTTTAAAAATAAAACCAACCAACTCTTAGCAAGTGAGGAATAGAAAAGTAATTACCAAAAGCCTATGATAAACATCGCACTCACTTTAGGAGAGGGAGAGAGGAGGAAGAGAGGCATTTCTGACAGGGTGTCACCCCTGCGATACCCTACAGTCTCCCAGATAGCTGTGGGCACAGGTACAGGTTACTGAGCTCAGTCGGTTTCAGTGTGGTCCAGCTGCACTGCTACGTTTAATCAGTAAGTGGCGGAAACACGCCCTGTAAAGTCAGCACACACAAGGGTACCTGCTATCGCAGCTTCCATTTAAGACCATATTAAAAGGTATAAGGGATGAAAAGGAAGAAACAAGTCAGGTTACTCAGGATAGAATAATGTCTACATGAGAAACACTGGCGGTTCAACCAACTCATCAGTAAAGACATGGATGCCGGAAACCAAAAACACTACAAAATACCTTACAAAATAAACACATTTTACAGGATATAGATGAGATGTTTGAGAAAACAATCAACCTCAAAGACAAAAAAGACACCCTAAATAAATATAGATACATAACTCAACTACAGTAAATACGTCAATTCTCTAGGACTTCACCTATAAGTTCAACGTATTCTCATCAAAATACTGTAAGATATTCTACCCTTATCCTCATGGAATTCGGCAAATTGTTCTCCACGCAATAGTAAAGGCCTAAAAAAGACAAAGTAATCTTGAAGGAAAGTAAGTATTTATTTACTATAAGGCTATATAATTAGGTGTGGTATTGGTACAGTAGAGACAAAGAGAACCCTAACGGACGAGGACTTGGTGTACGGCCTACGGTCCTACAGCAGTGGCTACTATGCATCAGTGTGGAAAGGGCTCTGCCTGGCTATACAGGAAAAGACTGTAGATGTGTTACACACAAATGAAAATCAATTACAAAGCGACTCAAGTTCAATTATTTTTAAGCAATCTTAGGCTTGGTTAAAAACTTGGAAATACAATTAATCAACTTCTTTTAAACCAAATTTCCTGGTAAGTCTTCGCCTAAATATCTTCCACACAACATAAATTCTTTTCTTTTCTTTTTTGGTCAGAATTTATTGTATTAGCCTTACCTTAAAGTACTATGAACCTGGATGCAAGAAGTAAACTTGTCTTTTTCCCCTGCGTGGTAGCCAGGATCCTACCATTCTTTGAAAACATCCTTTCTGGTAAACAATGACTTCCAACCGTTTTGAGCTCTTAGCACACTTCATAGTACTGTGAGTTTTATAGGAGTAACTGAAGGAATGAAACTGCCCACATGATGACTATACCATTTTCTAAGAATTCAGCCCTCAGGTGTCACTGTCGGGTTAGAAGTATTTACTGCAACAAGCTGCCAAATAAAATATAGGATGTTTGCCTAACTTTGAATTTCAGATAACACGAAACTTTTATTGTAATGAATAATTTTTATTTCAATTATATCTCACTGTTGCTAAAAAGTAATTCGTTATTTGTCTGAAATTCAAATTTAACAGGCAGCCTGAATTTTTATTTGCTAAACCTGACAATTTTTGGCATCTTCCATTAAGTAAAGATTTTTGGTGCCAACTCCAAATCAATCCTGTTGCTAAAAGAAAACTAAGATCCCTACAAATTACAGAATCTATTGTATGCTATCTGATAAGACAATTTGTTAGTTGCAATAAAAAGTAAGTTTTGGACACTAACTGAAACTCAGTGGAACATCAATAACACTCACTTAGTAGTCACAGGGTAGAAGTGCATGTGACTGCCTGAAGGCAGGTTTATGCTTAAATGTCTGCTGTGGTGAGCCTCCTGCTCTTGAATTAAGTAGCTTACCAACCTACTGCCAAAGCAGCTCGTTTTCAGGCAGTGATTTCAAATGCTCACTGCCTTCTAAAAACTAAATTCTCTGGTTGCTGCACCTGCTACCTGCCTCAATGTGCTCATTTCCAGTGTCTTCTGTCCTCTTCAGCTAAAGTTCTGCTTTGTAGCTGTTGCCTAGCAACGGTTTCTGTTGCTCATTTTGGTCCCTGTTCTGACAGTGTGACCTACAATTCATTAATTTATTTTCTTTTCTTCACGAGACAGTCCAACAAGGTTCATGAGGTTCCCTTCACCTGCAGTATGGGGCTGTTCTTCATAATGAGCTGCCTAACTCCTTCCTTAATTAAGAGTCAGAAAAGCATTATTTACTGTACATGAACCAGCACTGCTCCAGCACGGACCTCAGCA